TATTTTTTTCATTTCATAAAAACAATTATTTATCTACAACCGAAGATTTTTCTGCGAGCTGAACCACTCCTAAACGTAGCCTTAACCAGCGGCCCTGCAGCCATCTGAACAGAACAGCGTCCGCTCTGGCCATCTGTACCTGGAGGGTCAAGTGTTCAACTGCCCCTACCAGGATACCATAAAATAGTAAAACTACATGAACACAGGCTTTGTTGTAAAGTGGGAAGTTCAGACATTAGTATGATAAAAACTGCATCAGTTAATACGCGTATAGTGATGGTAACATAGCTAAACATTCAACCCTGAGATATATAGTTCTCCCCTGAGGCAGTAAACAGGTACAAACAGTAGGCCTAAATTACTGTAATTTTCGTGGTTACACGGAGATACATTAGAACAGTCACTGCGTCCTGCGTCACTCACCGGAAGAAGAGGAGCGACCGAGCATAGCGCTGAGAGTCCTGTGGTCCATGTTAGCTATCAGGCTCCTTCAAGAAGTGCTAGGTCTTATCCAAGCTGCATGGGGGATGTTAGTACTGCGGGCTTCTGGATTCTTATATCAGGTAGTCTGGTAGCTGGTTATCAGAACTTCGAAAGAGCTTGTTGATTCCACTTTCAGGACAGAAGTAACTACATTCAATTTATTTTTCTTATATTTCTCTATACATTACTGCTTGCATCCTGTTGTATGAGTATACCCAACAACACAAATTCCACCATCAACATATCTGTACTTTACTGATTTATGTTCCACTACATGTTTCGACTCCAATAGGGTCAATCTCAGTTTTGAGATTTACACATTCTCATTACTGAATTGTAAAGCTTGCAAGCTTGCATACATATTTACATACATAGGCTTAAAATGATTACTTTCTATGTACATTTATATTCTCACTGCTACATGTTGATTTAAATACAAGATATAAGAACTAAAAGTTAAAAATTAAAAAATTAATGTAATTGTACTAATTTTTAAAATTAATTTAAAAGTGTCGTATGTAGACCACGCAGCAAAGTATACCACATAAACTAGATAACAAAACAAAAGTAACAACCAACATCCTGATAAAAAGAATAAAATGAATTCGTGCTCAAGAAGCAGTTAACACAAACGAACCAACCAATAACAGAAGAATCGGACGGAAAGATGCGTGGTCTACTGCAACAGACACTAAACTGAACACAGCATACGACAATTTTTAAATTAATTTAAAAAACACAACATTTATCAATCACACTGGACGGAGTTAATAACGTAACGTGTCGGGAATCCAGAAGAATCACTTCCATGGAAACGCTAGAATAGACCATTGCATAGGAAACAACAATCGCTCTATTGTAGTTCTAACAGGAGTCTCCATGGTTATAACAAAGGGTCCGTTGCATGGCAGCGACCGAGGTTGTATAGCGGGGTTGAATGCATTCGCACAGTCAGCCTTTATCCAGCCGTCTAAGAAGTGAGTTTTGGAACATCCGCCGCGGAAGAGAGTCAGCTAGTAAACCGCCAGAGAAGACCGTCTAGTGTCGCCGAGACATTGCAAGCAGTAATTCTAACACTGCAAGAGCAAATGATTGTAAAGCGTGTGATTGTGTAAGTGTGAAGAACAATAAAGGTTCTACGGAATTTGAGACCTACGTGAATTTATTTGTAGCCTGACACGCAAAACACGCTACATTGGTGTCAGAAGTGGGATTGGACTTATACACGTGGTCAACAAGATTCGAACTCAAGACACGCTACACTGGTGTCAGAAGTTTTACGAACTTACACACGCCACACACTGATTATTGTGCATCAAGTACTTTCCTGCAGCAAAATGGAGATGCAACAAATGATGGAACTTCTACTGAAGGAAATCAGAGAGAAACACGAAACGACGGAGGCCAATAGAAAAGCGGAGAAGAAAGAATTGCTGGCCTTAATGGAGGCAAACCAAATAGAAGCCGACGCCAAACATAACGAGATGATGGCCGATTGGAAAGCCTGGGGGGAAGAGGGGAGAACTAGCCACGAGAAGATTGAGCCCCACTCAGAAGTGATGCAGTCCGTACTGGAGCATCGAGAGGTCCCCATAGTAGACGCCTCGATAATGCCGGCCAGAGAACCGAGGAAACGGCGTAGGGACCAAAAACTGGCCGCGGAGCGCCGCAGCCAGAAAGCGAAGGACTCTGTGTGGGAAAATCGCGAACCCCCGAAGAAATTGGCTGTCACACACAGAAGGGCGACACTAGACGGTCTTCTCTGGCGATTTACTAGCAGACTCTCTTCCGCGGCGGATGTTCCAAGACTCAATTCTTAGACGGCTGGATAAAGACTGACTGTTTCTCGCCGAAGCTGGGCTATTTATCCCCTCGGCCGTTGCTATGCAAATGAACCCCCTGTTATAGCAGTGGAAACGTTGCTTTGTTGGTTCCGCGATTCCTACGCAATGACTCATTGTTATTGCGTTGTCTCTGTGGGAAAGCTTCGCGTATTCGTCGTAACCGTGGAGATGTGATGTTCTTTACACAATGGCTCACTGTTGGGATTACAGTGCCGCTATTGTTACTTCCTATGCAACGGTCTGTTCTAGCGTTTCCATAGAAGTGACTCTTCTGGATTGCAAACACTTTGCATTGCTCCCTTCTAAAGATTGTTCGTCCCCGAACAGCCTAAAGGTTCTCCCTCGGTTTCGATTCCGCGGTGTTCTGCTGGCAACGTCTGCATTCGGTCTTGGTTTCCTTTGCGCGTCTTTTTGCGCTGTTCATTCTACCGCATCCGCCCCTCTCTTCAGTGGTGCTCGCCCCGAGCACTCCCGTAGCCGAGAATTTGTCGATCTCGTTGTTTTACACCCATTCCTCACTTTCATTCTTCATTCATCCTTGTTGGGGAGGCCGGTACTTCTACGTTACCGGTTCCTCCAATAAGGGCCGTTTACCTTTTTCCGTTTTGGAGGGGGTCGACCCCTCCACAAGGTCCAATTCATTTTTGTCTTCAGGCTGGTATGAGGCCCAACTATTCGTTTCTAAATCCCTAGTCCTTGGTTCTTCCTGAGGGTTCGGCTGGCTGTTCCCTCGTTCCCATGATGCAGCTGCTGTCTTTTGTGCCCCTTTTTTGGTCCATTGCTGCCATCTGATTTCTCCTGGGGTCTCCGACCTCTGGAGGTTCT